CGCCAACTATCCGTCAGTTGCTAGGGTTAGAGCACAAATTTATATATAGAAATCGGTTGTACGACTATAGTTCGGCAATTGTGAAGTGCTCGTCACTTGTGCAGCTAAGCATGGAGGATGATTGTCTTTGGGGTTGATACTGAAGACGATTAGCTCAATACGATGGTAGAAAAGGATCAAGATTTTGGTGTGATCTTCGGAAAGGGAGAAGAAAGTAATTGCCGCCGTCGGCTTCTAGAGGACTAGGTCATCGGTGCAGTTTGGATTGAACCTCTCAGAAATGCAGAAACTCCTATCGTCGCCACAAACTTTTGGTTTGGATTTGGAGATGAAAATCTCGAACCCACTACGACACTGACCGGTGTGGATTGTACCCAAGAGAGATCCGTAAAGAAACAGAGGGACCTTTCTCGCTGGGAATGGATATGAAAAATAGCTTTAATTTAAACTAAAACTAATAATTGTTGTTATTGTTGTTATTGTTTGTTTTTAGATTTTTGGAAAGAAATTATAAAGAGACGATACGCGAGGGGCAGTCTAGTCATTTCTCATTCCATTAAATGTTCAACTAACAGAATTTTTAACAGAAGGGTACATTTGTTACATCTTTATAGTAGAAGGGTATAAAAGTGCAAAAAATAGTAAAGGAGTATAATTGTTAACTTGTAATAGTACAGGGGTTACAAAATGCTATTAACCCTTCATTTATCTATATCATAGTTAATTAGTTATACCTTAGGTGTTTAAACTTTAAATACCAAACATGTCAATCTTTCATTCTTGGACCTCCTGTGAGTAAATGTATGCGTGGTGTTGTTTTTTATGTATAAAAAAGAAAAGTACACCACTGCAAAAATAATTTCGCCACTAAAAAAATATCATTTTGTGACACTTGATATTCTCATCCATTTTTTAGGGGTTGTTTGGATGAGTGATTTGCATGAGTGATTAGCAATCTACTGTTCGGACCAAAATATTTGGTCCATGAGTTTTCAAATAGTCCAATCTACTTTTCCAACCATAATACTACATGACATAACTAAATTCTTTTTTTATATATAAAGTAAGGGTAATAACTGGTATACTACAGGAGTCTAGTATATTTCAATTGATCGGTCGTTAGATCTCTTCTTTTGAACTCTGGCCAATTTCAACGATCAATTAATATTTTAATAAATTAAATTTCTGGTTTGAGTTTAGAGAATCGGAGGCTGGGGTTAATCCATTAAAAGTTAGAATGTAATATCATATCCCAAACTCGATTTAATTCATGATCTAGATATAATTATCTAGCTAGTAATACCAGGAGTATATTATACTCCAGCAGTACACCCATACGACAATACACCCGTGACCCGTCTGACGCATAATGTAAGTACATTTTTCACCTCATAGCAATCTTGCCGAAAGAGATAAAGAAGGTAAAAAGGAAAGCAGCCCAAAGCAGTGAAGTGCCAAACTTGAACCCAAAGTTGAAAAATAAAAGCCCAATCCTAACATCACTATAAGGAGTTTCTGCGGCACAACCCCTTAGATTCTCCTTTCCTGCGCTGTGCGCAATCCACGGAAGGAGAATATTGTCAATAGCCAGGGCCGCCAATTAATTGTGCAAGGCAGACAACTCCCGCAAAATATATTTACCCCAGGCCCAACCCAAACTTGCTTTAGTTAATTGTTTCCCTCCATTCCAACTTTTACGAGGAGGCAGGAAGATAAAATAAATAAAAAATGTTTAGATCTCGGTAGACGAATGATATTCGATTGACTAATTGTTTGTTAATGACAATAATAAAACATAACCCATTACACCTATTCTTTACAAATTTGTCCGTTTTGCGACCCGCACAATTTTTTTCAAGAAGCCCCATTTTGGTCCCTGCACTGCATGCCTTCCTTTGGTTTATGTACAATATCCGTAGCTACATATGATAAGATTATTATTATATAACATAAAGATTTCATCTATGATTTTCTCTATTTACACAGTTTCGACACTAAAATTGTGCTTCTTTATCTCATTACAATTCTTATATAGATTCAGGATACAACTTCGAGCCCCGGACATAACAACTCAAACAGACTTTGTTGTTATGGATTGAGAGAGTGATCCATTTTTGGTATATATGCTGAGAGACTATTCCAAGACAACGATCGAATGAGAGGGCCACCACCTGCTCATCTACTACAAATTGAGGGAATGACGTTGAAATTCGACATCAAGCTCACTGATTATAACATCGCAAACCAAACAAGTGAGTACACAATTTGCAAGATAGGGCTGGAAGATGATAACAATAACTCAAACGATCACCCCGAATCGTGAAATTATATTCACTCTTATTTACAAGAATGCATTATAACCACATGATTTGGAAATTCTATTCAAAATGAACCCTCTAATTATAATTTAATTACAATGCCATCTCAACTGCCCATACATTGATTTTGCAATGCGTTTAATTTAATAGCTTAAAATAGTGCAACATTTCTCTATTTCCTATTCACTTGCATGCTGCTGCATACTTGAATAAATAATCATCCTAAATACGTCTTCACTTACCAAATATTATGATTTTATGATTCAATAAAACAACAAATATGTTTTGTTTTTTAATGCCAAAAAACTAATATCATTATCCTAATTATGCAGGAGATCCAAAATAGCATTGACAATGATGCGGGGGCAGGAATCGGTGTAACAAATGATGATGCTCTTGAGAAGAAGGTGGAGTCTCCTGATATTGAACCAAAATAGAGCACTAATGGAGAAGAAGACTTCAATACCGGTGGAGATGATGATGTTGCTAATGACAAAGGAAATGCATACAAGCTAAAAAGAAAACATGAGTGATAGTCTCTGACGATGAGGAATAAATAGAATGATTAGCGAAAGCAAATTAAGAGTCGATTTCCTGACATAGGGTTTCTATATTATTTTTTCAGAAAACAATTTTACTCGATGAGTCGGTTAGGATATTCGGAAAATACTATGATTGTGATCCTTTACAATGGTTCAAGTATTTTACTGTTGCACTTTGTTTACATTTGGAAGGGGTAATTTTTCATTACAATTAAAAAACAAATTTTTTAACTCATACATGACAACACGTTAATCACAGTATTATACAGTGATGAACAGTATAATCATTTTTCAACTTCCAAGTAAATGATATGTTATGAATTTGTCCATTGAATTCATTTGGAAGGGGTATAATCATTTTACTGGATTTAATTAATAAAAAATTAATTTATTATTTATGCTATGATTTTAAAAGTTAATGTTGATGCGAATTGGTGGAATCAGGTATAAAAGTTTATATTTGACGGTAAATGTGGTATTTAAATATGTTTATTTATTATTTTATTCAAAATGTCGTCTATTATTTAAATATGAATATGAATTGTAAGTAAATTATCTTCAAATATGTTTTATATATGATTGCATTTATTTTTATGTTAATGGATTTGCACATTAATATATATTTTGTTAATCAGCATTTTGATTGAATTGTAAGTACACCACACTAATTTTTTTTATGAATACCAACAATGAGGAGTATATAACGGTTTTTTCACAAAAATTTACGGAGTCGGTTTCCTGACATAATGTATGTCTTTCATTTTTTGTAAAACAATTACACTCGATATCCGGATAAAATATCTAAATATACTATCAAATAAACGTAAAGCTCACATCAAAATTGCTATTACTATTTACGCGATTGGCATATGAATCCGGCCAATCGGCCGGGCCTCTAACTAGTATCAAAAAGGAAAAGGCTGGAAAACCTGACCAAACCTAGGAGAAAAATTAACAGAGGGAGTGTCACACTGTCACTGTTGCAGGTCTCGTCGTGAATATAACCCATTATTTATTTCAATTTCGAACCAACAATCATCAAATTTATCAAACCCTAAGAATTATCTAATGGTGAAGTGAGAATCAAGGACAATTATCACGTCCTAGGAGGATAAAAGCTATCCACGTTTTTTTCTTAGTGATTTTTTAATATAATATGTCCCTCTACTATGTCGATTTATCAAATATGCCCCTTTACTATTTTTTACATCAAACATACCCCTGTATTTTAGAAAAATGATCAAACATGCCCTCATGTTAATATTTTCATCCAAAAACAGTCAATCACGGTCGTACCTTGGTTTGGGAGACACAAATGTCTAAAATATCCCTGGTAATTTCACTTTAGAATTTTTTGGGTTCTTTTGTAGAGCCAAATACCTCTAAATATTTCACTTTAACAAGACCTAGAAAAATAAAATGGGGGACAAAACTGACATTTTTCCTCTCATTTGCCGATGTCGGGTTGTTTACATCTCGGTTCAACCATGGTTGGCTATTTTTTAATTGAAATTTAAACATAAGGGCATGTTTGATAATTTTTCCAAAGTACAAGGGCATATTTGATGTAAAAAATAGTAAAGGAACATCTTTGATAAAACTACATAGTAGAGGGCCTATAACCTTTTTTAATTCATTTTGATTTATAACTCAAGAGGGATAAAGCTATCCACACTTACCAGAAGTCACAAACCCACAATGAATCATATGTTTATAACAGTACTTCTTCATTTGGGTAGATGAGATTTTGCATTTACTAACTAAGTAGTAAGTACCAAGTGGGAAATTTTACATATAAAGTAAATATATAAATTAGCCAATCAATCTAGTGAGCAAGGAAAGTGAAAACCCACCAAAGCCTTACCAATTCATTTGAATTTTTTTCTTCCTTGGTGAGCTATATAGCAATAATTTTGAGTGGTAGTTTCATAAAGATAACGCCTTTCCTTTTGGGTTGTTCATGGTTACAAGCAAGAGGCCCAAGACAAAGAAAAAAATTGATCCATGAATAGGGCTTATTTTCTTTTTATAAGTAGTTTCCCTTCCATCTTTGGGGTTCTATGTGTAAAGCTTCTTAGCATTCCTCTTCCTTTCTTCTTTTTTTGCCTTTGAGGGGAGCTAGAGAAACACTAATAAAAGAATGGAGAAGCTATGGAGGCCATTAGGTCACCTCTTCCTCACTTTCTTTCTTTACAACTTCGGAACGTTCATGGTGGCTCCAACCATAACCGACGTCACCATGTTTGCAGTCTGTCCTCACCAACCTGAGTGCTCGATCGCCATTTACCTCACTGGATTTCAACAAGCGGTATTTGTTTCTCTTCTTCCTCCTCCTCAATGCTCCTAGATATAGAGTAAACGAGCTTCAAACATGTCGCAATAGAAAAGCCATAGACTAATGTGATCGCTCCAACATTATCATTCTATACAACTCTGTTGATACCTAGCTAACGTCGATCGTTTAGTGACGTGATAAGGTAAGGTGTAGGTTCTAAGATGGAGGAGTCTAGCTTTCTGTACTATCTCTTGCTTTCTCTAATCAGTCTGTGTTTTCCTTTTCTAGGAGACTTGTTTAATAGGTGGAGACATTCTTGTGATTTTTGCTTCGTAGGAAAACCCGACAAGAAGCAACCTATAGCATTTGACAAATTTAGTTTTGTTGGTTTTAACGGTTAGCCTTTGTCTGTCATTTCATTAATTAAACTCTACAAAATTGCATAGTTCTTAGCTCTGACATCACCAGTCACCATGTAAACGTATGCAAAGTTAATACCTTGATCAGCCTCTCTGTTATTAGCCTACTCCTTTCTTGCTTTTCACGTTACTGTCAGCTTAAGAAAAAAAAGCATATGTTAGATAAATCCAATAAGCACTAGGCTTAGTAGTCTAACATCCATGGTCATGATTAAGGCATACAGGATGTTGGCTGGGTTCGAGCTCTGAATGGTTTTAGACGATTTTGGCCTCTCATTATCACTGCGTCAACTTTTAATACGAGTTTTTCTAGTTAGCATTTGAGGTGTCATTATGACATGCATGGACTCACGGCGGCTCGAACTTGACACTTGAGGGGGTTATATTGCGACCTCGATACAGTCTGGACAGGGGCATCATGTGAATGTGATATAAACAGTTCATGTTAGGTTAGAAACTCAAGTTTAAGGCTAAATCCCACTTTTTCACTTGTATAGATAACATACTTTCCCAAGGAGAACCCAATGTTATAATGGATGATATCATCATACTTTATTCTCATTTCTCTCGTTTATCTAACGAGGGCAGAGAAGCTTTTGCCAGGATTTTGCTCCTCTTACTACGTAGCCATCACCTTATGTTTTGTCAAACCGTTGCAACTTTATAGAAAATCTAGATATCTGGCAATTTTATATTTCAGTAGCATTTGCGGAGTTTAAAGTTGTTCCAATAATAACTAGTCGATATACACGAATCAAAAGTTGTTCCAATAATAACTAGTCGATATACACGAATCAAAAGTCGACCATCTAAAAATCTCAAATTCAAATGGATTTTTGTGTGTTCTTTTGGGTGCAGGTGATTGGGCTAGGGACTCTATTTATGATGCCATTGGTAGGGAATCTATCAGACAGATATGGGAGAAAAGCTTTGCTCACTCTTCCTATGAGCCTTTCCATTATCCCTTTGGGTAAGCAAACCCCCAAAACTTGACTAATCATCAATTTTCTTCTTATTCATGCCTTTCCTTTTTAGTTTCAGTTTGAAGTATGGAATCTCAAAAATGGATCCCATCAATGATCCATGCAAAACTAACTGTAAATAAAAAAAATTCTTCCTCTTTAGGTGGGACTTGAGAAATGGATGATAAGAGTTGGTTAGTCACTGTGACTTTGTTTGACCTTTAAAGAAAAGTGGGCATTATAACTTTTTTTACTACTAATTAAGTATTATAACTTTAGGTGGCGGTTCTTACTTCCTGGAGTGGACAATTGATAATTTTGCCGAAAATGCTTATTATAAATTCATAACTGGTAGTTAAAATTAAATTGGTTGACCAACTAAGGAGAAAAAAAAAAACATACGTGTGAATTTAGCTTCCTTCAAGAAAATAAACCCCTAGCTGATGAACAAAGCTACATTTGGACTCCAAAAGTGAGACATAATCACCCTATAACTTGCATTATGCCTATTACTCGTATTTTGGAGTAGATGAAGTGGATGAATCACGAAGTGGATGCCTATCACAGCTTCCCGCTAAAGTTGATTCGCATGCGGATCATAAATTAATAAAACATGATTTTAGTATCGTATGGATTGGATTTATCATCATCCTCCTAGTAAGATTTTGTTTCTTATTAAGATGCGAAAAAATTACTGAAGACCTCATCTTTTTTCATCGTTATCGTTTGGTTCGTGTCGCAGCCATATTGGCGTACAGCAGATCCAGGAACTTCTTCTACGCTTACTATGTGCTTAAGACTATCACTTCCATGGTTTGTGAAGGAAGTGTTCAGTGCCTTGCTCTCGCCTACGTGGTAACTCCCCTTGTTCCCCACTTTTGGGCTTTTGCCCTACAATCGACTGGCTCAATAGTTGGGTACGTTAATATGCTCAGTTCTAAAATACACGGGTCAGTTATAAATTGCAAGTAATGAGGCCTTGCATGAATGGGCCAACAGCTGATAGTGAAGGCCCATTATCTGATAATAATTGTGATCCAGCCCACTTTCTTAAAGCCTATCCGTTTTTCTTCTCCTCACATTGCAGTGATAACAACAAAATCGAACTCACGTGTACCCACTACCCACCCGATCAAATCCGGTCGACACCGGTAAATCAGTGTTGACGGGTTTTGGGCCAGCCTTGGATTTAAACCCGTTCACTATTTATTGGGTCGGGTTGAGTTTGGGTTTAGGTAAACCCGGGCCATGGGTACCCGCTCACACTCATATAATTAATTTTCTCGATATATTTAATATTCTAAACAACTAATTGTGTAGAATGAAGTTGATGTTATCAAGTGGAGAGTGAAGAAACTTAATTGAAAGGAAGAAGCTTTCGATTAATCATGTTATTTATGGATAATTTGTGATTTGTTTCAATTTTCTTGAGTTTTCTAGATTAGCGTTGAACAATTTGCACAGTTCATTTGTGATTTGCTTGAATTTTCTAGAATGATGTTTTATATATAGATAATTTGTATTGAGATATTGATATTTGACTTTAATTTTGATAGGAACTTGTTATTGTAAATTTTTTACAACAAAAACCGTGGATACCCATGAACCCGCGGATACACAACGAGTTGGGTTGAGTTTGAGTTTTTCAAACCCAATGGTTTTATCCCGGATTTTTTCTCACAAATAAACCCATAGGTTTAGATTTGAGTTTGGCAAAACCCGACTCAACCTTACCCATTGCTATCCTAATTGCTTCCCTCCAAAATTACCGTCGTCGTCAAAACTTTACAGTGGTTTCTACTTTCTACCAAAAGAAACGTTCTTACTTCTTAGTTCTTACTACTCAGGCGGACAATGTCCCGGTGCGACGGCGGGCGGCGGCGTTCGGGATCCTTTCCGGGATCGGTTCGGCAGCGTTCGTGTGCGGGACCTTCATAGCTCGGTTCCTCTCCACTGCTTCCACCTTCCAGGTGGCGACGGCCGTTGCGATCGCCGGAACGGTCTACATGAGGATTTTCCTTCCCGACGTAGCCGTCGAGGAAAGCCTCAAGACGCCGATTCTCTGCCGAGGAAAGGAGAAGATCGTAGCCGATTTCCCGAACGAGATCTCTCCGATTAAGAGCGAGCAGATATTCAAATCGAGGCCTTCCCTGCGAGATATGCTCACCATGCTGCAGAGCAGGTTCGCTTTCGAGCTTTTCATCCTGTTGTTTCCATTGTTCAAATAGATCGATTTGAATCCTGAAGTTTGCTTCCTCGACTTCGCAGTAAGATTTTCACGCAGGCGGCCGTTGTTGCATTCTTCCTCAGCCTTTCAGATGCCGGCTTTCAAGCCTCCGTAACGGTATATCTCCCGGGGGTTCTGTTCGCTGATTTCAACTCAATTTAAATGATTTCACTTGCTTTTGTGTTTTCAGTACTACCTGAAAGCCGAATTCCACTTCAATAAGGACCAGTTCGCAGATTTAATGGTGATTTCCGGGGTCGCTGGCACAGTTTCACAGGTACATAGATGACTTTTTTCAACTTTTTGAATTGCATGCCCACAAGGTGTTTGTTTATTTTCCTCAATGAGCTTACAACTGGGAAGTGAAAATGCTTTGTTGCAGCTAATTGTGATGCCAATATTAACTCCATTCTTAGGAGAAGGGGTTCTGCTTTCAGTTGGACTTTTCTTCTCTTGTGCCCATGTGAGCTTCTTGTTCCGTCGCATTTTTCGTATCTAGTTTCTCACAGTCGCCTCATTCACTAACCTTTGAGCTCTAAATCTTGATTGCAGATATTTCTCTACAGCGTTGCATGGTCTTTCTGGGTACCTCAATTTCTTTTCATAACTGATGTTTAGAATATGATGAATGCCTTTACAGATGGCTAACCTTTACAATGATGTACGTGAACAGGTCCCTTATGCTGCCTCTATGCTCTCCATTTTCTTCGTTTTCTCACAACCATGTGTAAGTTCGTCTCCTCGGTCCTCATCGAGCTCTCTATCCATTTCTCCATGCCCTTATTCCCTAACGAACTTCTTCTCGTCCTTTTTTTAGATGCGGGCCATTGTGTCGAAGCAAGTTGGCTCATGTGAGCAGGTAATTCCAGTATACATAAAGAAATTATATCTCAACTGAAACAGGGAATTTTGCTATGGGTGATTGATCTGGGTTTCCTCTTTCCTTTTTCAGGGAAAGGCTCAAGGATGCATATCAGGGATTTCTTCATTTGCAAATGTTGTTGCTCCCTTAGTTTTCTCTCCATTATCAGGTAATGCACCTCTGATTTACACCCTTCGTTATTTCACCTAGCTACAAAACTAACCAAATCCGATGTATCCTCACTTGGCAGCTTTGTTTCTCTCTGACAATGCACCATTCGATTTCCCCGGTTTCAGCATCATGTGCGTTGGATTTGCAATGGTAAGCGAGCTTATCAGGATGCACCACTGTCAATCCAACCAATATACCAACTTCTAAACTGGACCATCATTTTTCGTTTCACAGATGGTAGCGTTCGTTCAGAGTCTCATGATTAGGGTTCCTCCTCCCATTGCAGAAGAGAGAGTCGATAATCCGAACCACGTTGATTCCTACGCATGACCTGTAGTTTCCCTTAGAAAATCGACGATGATCAGTTAGTTATTGGAAGCTCTAAGTTGCCATTTCACATTCCTTTTCTCTGTGTGTATATTTTTTGGGGAGTCACTGGAATAATCTCGGCCCTCCGACGAGAAAAACAGGGCGCCAACTGGAGGGTGAATGTTAGGACATGTGGGGCAGTTTTGTGTTGTTTTTTGGGTTGACCTTATCTTCACTTCGAAAAGGGTTATATAGTGACTTGAATGTCCTATTTTTTCAGTACATTTTTTTTTGTCATTTATGTCCCGAACTATTCAATGTGACATTTATGTAGTTGTGTTGTGTTATTTATGTCCCGAACTATTCAATGTGACATTTATGTAGTTGTGTTGTGTTATTTGTGTCCCGACAATTTTATTGACCGTCATAGTTAACGGTTGACCAAATGGTCAACCATGAAATGTTGACTGTTGGTTGCATGGTACATACATGGCAACCACGTGTGCGCCACGTCATATTTTTATTTTAAAATTGATATTATTTTAAAAATTAACAATAATAAATTAATATTAACAAAACAAAATCCAGTATCGAATAAGCAGACAATCCACGCCCACCCAAGACCTAACTTCCGCTTCTGACCTGATTCGATTTACCCGAACTGTTTGACCAGACCCGCCCCTTAGGCGGGGCGGGGATTGGTATTCTCATCGACCCGACCTACCCTGACCCACCTCATTCTCGACCCGTTCGTGCCTAAATTACATGTAATCATAGTCAAATTACTTAGAATTTTTCTTATATTACACCATATTTTAGCTATTATAAAGTTATGAATTAACTACATTTTATCATATTATGATTTGTTTCTTGGTCTTATAATGAAAATAACGAATATTTCTAATACTTTCAATAAAAATTACATAGCCATTGGGTCGACCTGCCCCGATCCGCGCCCCGTGATAAATTACCCGACCTAGACCCAACCTACCATGGGGCGGGTATGGGTATCGAGATACCCACCCCGGACCTGCCCCATTGTCATTCCTACCGCCGCCCCATCAACCAAAGGTATCTAATCAACTCGAACCTCCAACGCGACATCTTGAGCTAGGGGTGTCCTTTGGTCAGTTCCGATTTAACTAAAACATGAATTCTTGGTTATCAGTTAAACCGAGCCACCTTATAGAGCTGTCGACCACTGACCGGGAGGGAAGCCACAGCTAACCGATCACCGATCGGTCGGTTAATCGGTTTTGGTTTGGTTAGCCATGGTAACGGAATGGTGACTGTCGGTTTGGTTTTGACAGGAAAACCGACCGGACCGACCGAAATTAGTTCCACCTTAGGTAATCAGTTCGTGGAGCGGGAGTGAGAGCGAGAACGGGAACACGAAAGCGTCTATCATAGAAGAATTCAATATTGAAAGCGCGAATAGAGCGTTATTATTATATTATTTTTAATTATTATAATATTTATAATACATTATTTTAACTCATTTGTAATATAATTAGCCTAAAATAGTACACTGTACCCTACTCTACAAATAAGGTGAAATGTTTTAGTGTTAATTTCACTAATAAATAACTCTAATACTTTGGTAGACTATAATAAATATCTATTATCTTTTGTTTTAAAAAAATTATTTATTCTATTTTATTGTTATTAATTTTTTCACTATTCTTTTTTCTTTTTCTTTTCACTTTCACTTATCCCTTCCCTGCCATTGTCATTCACCAACCGTCAACCCACCACAATTCACAAACTTCCCATCTCTCTCTCTCTCTTCCTACACTTTCTCTTTCTCCTTCTTCTCCGTTGCTTAGTCAGAGCATCATCTAAAGCTCTATTCTTCTCCTTTTGTTTTTGGTGATCAATTTCTCCGTGCAACAGCCAAATTAATCTTTTCTCATCCCAAAGATCTCTTAAGCGATGAACTCATAATCTAGAAACAGCACTGTGACAACACTAGTTTGCAAGGGAGAAAGCATTCGTTGACGACCGTCGATTCGGCACAAGAAGGCGATTAAGCGACAACCTGAGCCAGGATGAGAAGTCTTTCTCTTGCTTTCCAATTAACTCAATTCATCGACAACAGTTTGCAGAAGGAAAAAGAAAGGATTGCATCGATGATGGTTGATTTGGCGACGAAATGCACTAGAATGACCAGTTGAACGAAGACTTTCTCTTTATCTCTAATTAAACCCAGTTCGTGAAGAGATACGCAAATTTCTAGATATAATTCGCGCTCCAGTGAATGTTAATTCGTGAATTATCAACGCTTTGTAATTAAAACGCGTTTTAAACCAATCTGGGAGCGACGAGGGTCAACCCACAAATTGGGTGACCTAAGTCCCACCTGCATGAACAAAACAGTAAAATCGCATAAAATTAAAGGCTCAAACCTACATTTCTACATCTAAATCACCCAAAGTAAAGTTTCAATCCCTTTTGCATCGAAAATACATCTAAAACACCAAATTAATGTCTCAAATTCATTAATTAAACAGCATAAAGTCATAAACTCCACAATTCACATATCACAATGCACAATTGATCCTCCAAATAGCAACAACAAATCAACAACACATCATCATCATTCATCACTTATCAACAGCGGAAGAAGAACCAATATCTACATAACCCTGTTCTTTCAATCGGCCCAAGAAATCATGACCAAAAGCGTTATATCCATCTTTCTCATACTCTTTCTCCGACACTTCTTCTTCACCCTCCTGCTTATTTTCCACTGGAATGTTGAGACTTGCATCTTCATTGGCAACATTGCCAGTATCACTTGCACTTTCAATTCTAAACTGGAAAGTGGCATTCACTGAGTAAGAAAAAAATAAAATAAAGTGTTAGTAGGACATTCATACATTGAATTAGGTGGGAAGAATAGTGAAAACTTGAACAATTGGAGTGTTTTAGAATTCACCACTTTCCAAATCCAAATTCTCTTCATCATCTTCCTTCTCGTCAATCTCTCTAGATCCGGTAGTTGGATACCTTATCCAATCCTCAAAACAAATCAATGCCTCCACCATTGTATCGCTCAAAGAGGACTTGAATGGAATGAGAATCCGGCCGCCACAGCTGAATGTTGCCTTTGAGGCAACATAAGAGATGGGATAACTAGGATATCCTTAGCCATCTAAGCAAGAATTATATATATTCTAGGGCGTCGAGACCACCAACCCAAGATGGAAAACTTGGCATCATCACTCTCCTCATTGATGCCATCAATTTGACATTTCAATTAGATGTCAAGCTCAACATAGTTACCTCATGTTTCCTGCAAAAGTGCTTTCTTTTTCCTCTTCCTGAGTTTCTTCTCAAGTATCTTAATCCTATCACCAACACCTTTAGCATAAATACCACCAACAATGCTCTCATAAGTGGTAGGCTCAGATGCAGAGGATGCTGCTTTTGATCCATACTTCCCCTTATAAACCTCAAACATCTGGCACAACTCCCTTTTAATGGAACTTTCAATTTCTCCTCCCTTCACACCCCCATAAATCATTTACAAAACCTAGGAAACCAGATCAAGCACACATGCTATATAAATTAACACATGCTAAAACTTTGTCTCTTGGTAATATGAACACGTGCTAAAGACTTGTGTTGATGAGAGGAATTACTTGATTATTTGCATTTTTGTAGTGATTACCTTTGTTTGATTGGATCTTGTGTGTGGTCATCTTGTTTACTTACAATCTCAGAAGTAATTTTCAACCAATAGCAGCTTACTCAAACGGCTACTTGAAGACATAATTTGACGAAATTTGTGGAGATTTGTTGATTATCATGTGTGTCTATTTTTTGTACAGCTGGATGACTACGTGTTGTGCAGGATTTACAAGAAGGTCGACAATGGAAGCCTGAGGAGAGCTCCTCGATAGAGGGAATTAGACTTGGGAGGCGACTTCTCACCCGACCATGTTGCTCGTTTTGATCACGACGGACCTAAGAATGCTATGATCACTGGCCAGACCGTCCATGATCCCACACTGGCGGTAGACAATCTTCATGGTGGAGAGGAGGAGGATAATTTGTCGATGGTAACAACTCAAACACAGATGGAGATGCATATTGGTCACTTCGGAAGAATCCATTATCCTCCACAACAAACCTTTGTTTACGATGAATTGAGCCTAATTGAAGACTTCTGGGGATCGTTGCATGGACAGTTCAGCTATGATCATATTCACGATGATCATGGCATCAGCGTCGTCGATCGCCACTTCACTAGCTATCCACAACATCACCATGGTGCTAGCAGTTCTCTTGCAACATGGGACAGCTCTTGCTCCCAGCCTAACCCTTGAAGCTTGTGATACCAAGCTAAGATCATCAACCTATATGTAAAAACCAAGGAAAACTCTCAGATTTTCGAGATTGACCTAGATTCTTAGTCATGTTGTTATTTGGTTTTAACATTTCAATTCAGTTCTGTTTGAATAATGTCGGTTGTAAAGTCTCGTATTTAGGAGCCCACCATCAATGCCTGCTGAGATCAACTTCCTTCTCCCTTCCCTCAACGTGTCCTTCATCCTGAATTGTTGTTGTTGCTTGTCGTGGTGTCGATTCTCCTTCATCCGACATACCATAACTCCCTTCTCTGTCTCATTGGGAGTTCCTATAGGTAATTTTTGTCGTCCAATGGCTCTATTGTCTCTAGTTGCTTCGTGCTTTAGCCTCTCGATCTCCTTCTGAAGCTCGGAAACTTTCTCTTCGAGTTCCTTCGATCTGTCCACCAAGCAACCGGCTTTGTGTCTCCACTCCTATTCTTGTTTGCCAATGACAAAGAAGCTTAGTTAGTTTACAAATTCATTGCCAGAAAATTCATAGGAGATTAGTGTTTGTTTTTGCTTACAGATGAATCTAGAGACTGGAGCTTAGAATCGACTTCGAGTGCTCGATCTTCCCATAACTGTCTCGAAGCTTGAAGCCCTTCCATCTCGTCCCTAACCTGCCCCAGCACCTCCAATCACTTCCCGTCCATCTTGCACCACCAAATTAATGATGTGTGCCACACATCAAACTGCAGATACTTCCCATCCATCAAATCACACCCCCACTCCTTTAACTTCGTTCTCATGCAATCACCGAGAACATGACTCACACAAAACACCACACTAGAAATCCCCTCTAGAGCCCAAGTTTTTAAACTCTAGAGGGGTGCAACATAGGGCAAGTAAGTTTTAATTATCAACCCGGGCCGATCCATGTACCCCTACTTCAATCGCTTAGGTTATTATCTAGCAAACAACTTTTGGGTTTAGAACTAATTGAACTACAAACTAAACAAGCAAAGAAAAGTAAATAAGGGAAAATTCTAACTAAGGGAGCTTCACCTAGGAGTTGTTCCCCCCTAA